ATAGAAATTATTTTCAGTCTTTTACAAGATTTTGACAATTGTCAAGAAAGCAATCTGGGATTTTGAAGAAAATGTAATATTAAACCTCCATTGATTTAAATATAATCTATCATTTATTAACATCTGCTAGAGGTCCATACTTGAGTCAGGCACTTAAATCTGCATTATTATTCCTTGTTCACTTACAATGCCTGTAAAATGGATTTGATGTTGGTCTTTTGTGTAGATGAAGAAATTGATGCTCAGTGAGAACAACCAATAAATCTTATGCCACACAGTAAAATCCAAATATTTACCTTGAAAGTCCAGCTCCTCTTTCCAGCATAATACTAGTTAAACTGGGGGAATACAAGTGTGTTTTAAGAATTGCCTGGAATACTTCTTATGCTGATGGTAATCAGTATTCTCCATAGTTTCTTCAGAGATAAATATTTCAAATTATGAGATCTAAGAACATATTTGTGAAATATTTATCTTCCATTTTTAAACTAAAGCTTTCTTTGTATCTTGAAATTTAAAGTAAATTTAAAGTAAAACCTAGCAATGTCCTAGCAATATAATGTTTTCCTCTCCTAAGCCCTGAGCACATTCAACCACGTTGTAATTCAAACTTACAACAATTTTCCACTTGTACCATACCTTCCCTCCCCATTTTGTCCTTTGGATAACCTCATAATGACTTTTACTGTATTTGTGCAAGATCTTTCCAATTAGCCCATTGGAACTCTCAAATGGAAGAGAAACAGAAAAGAATGAAAAGAGGAAAGAAGAAAAACGATGATCTGGGGTAGTGTTTAACTAGCAGGAGCTTTTCACACTGTCAGGTCATAGAAACGTGGAAAGTCAGAAGGTCCTAGAGTTCTCATAATCCAGTCCCATAATATTTACAGATGTGTTTACTTTGGCATATGCAAAAGAACACAGGGTTCATAGGCAGTCAATCTGGGATCAAATGCTGACTTTGTTGCTTTCAGCTTTAAGAGTTTTGGTATGTTACTTAGTCTTGTTTTCCCTGATTATAATAGGAATGCTGACATCTAACTCATGAAATTATTTTGAAGATCAAATATGGTAATATGTAATCACTTATCCCGTGTATGGCACATAGGAAGGGGGCTCTTAGATGTGAACCCCTGTTGTCATTATTCTTGTAATACCGTGGTACATCATTGGACAATTCTAAATTTATAATCGGATGAGCACTACTTGGAACCAGCCCACAGATAGTCTTAGAGTTGTATGTCTTGCCTAATTTTACATTATCTTTGAGGCTCTACATTGTAACACCTGCCAATTATGCTTATGATTATTGGAGATCCAGCATGGCTTCATCCTTTGAAATAAAATAGATTTTACTTATTTCAATAGTAAATTAATGAGCAATTTAGAAGAAATGTGGGAGACGCAATTCCTGCTTGTATGGAGAAAGCAGGAAAAATTACCACAAATCCAAAACAAAAAATTCATAAAAGAAGCATATTTGTGATGTCTTATTATTGAGAAATAGACTGGCTCAAAAACAGTGAAAGAGCTATATAGCAGCAGATCAGTAATTGAAGGATATTTCCCAGGCGAAGAGAAAATGGGGGATTCAGCAAACATCTTTTTGTTCTGGAAATAACAGTGGATAAACTGAAATACTGGAAAGTGAAAAAGCGAGACATGCATTTACAAGGGAGTTGAGGCTTCTGAAGCCAAACTGGATTTATGCGAAGAGGAGAATAAGAGAGAATACATCAAAGAAATCCAGAGCTAACTGACCTAAAAGGTGAAAACAGAAAAATGGAGGATGTGGGCTGAGCATGTCTAGTTTATTCTTCCCAAATTCACCAATCAAATAAGTCACTCACCTTCCCTTGGAATATGTTGAGTAAAGGGGCAGAGAGAGGTCAGAAGTAGAAGACTAGCTGAGATATCACCACCTGAAAGAAAATAAAAGCAATGGAGAGAGAAGAATTTTCTCCTAATACCTAACAGTGAAACATGTACAATAAGATGAGTGAAATAAGTAAAAATATAAGATTAAAACTCATGAAAGCATAGAACAGAAAGCCTAGTAACCATTAGTGTTGAGATAATTCATATATCTAATAATTGCGACCGTTTGGTTTATAATTTAGCAAAAATTTCCCTAGAACCTACTACATACAAGGCACTAGGCTAGTTACTATAGATGAATGGATGTAAAAGATATATTTCTACTTTCAGGCGCTTACAGCAAAATGATGAAAAAGTATATTAAGTGAATAACTTAAATATAATGGGTAAATGGTAATAAAGAGGTATTCACAAGGGACTTTAATTTTTTTAATTTATTTTTTAATCATACTTTAAGTCCTGGAATACATGTGCAGAACATGCAGGTTTGCTACATAGGTGTACACATGCCATGACAGTTTGCTGCACCCATCAACCCATCATCTATATTAGGTACTTCTCTTAATACTATTCTTCCCTTAGCCCCCACTCTCCAACAGGCCCCAGGGTGTGATGTTCCCCTCCCTGTGTTCATGTGTTCTTATTGTTCAACTCCCACTTACAGGTGGGGGCTATACCTCCCCTAGTACCCTCCCCCTCAACAGGCCCAGGTGTGTGATGTTACCCTCCCTGTGTCCATGTGTTCTCATTGTTCAACTCCCACTTATAAATGAGAACATGTGGCATTTGGTTTTCTGTTTTTGTGTTAGATTGCTGAGAATGATGGTTTCCAGCTTTATCCATGTCCCTGCAAAGGACATGAACTCATCCTTTTTATGGTTGCATAGTATTCCATGGTATATATGTGCCACATTTTCTTTATCCAGTCTATCATTAATGGGTACGTGGGTTGGTTCCAAGTCTTTACTATTGTGAATAGTGCTGCAGTAAACATACATGTGCATATGACTTCATAGTAGAGAGATTTTAATACTTTGGGTATATACTCAGTAATGGGATGGCTGGGTCAAATGGTATTTCTATTTCTAGATCCTTGAGGAATCACCACACTGTCTTTGACCATGGTTGAACTAATTTACAATCCCACCAACAGTGTAAAAGTGTTCCTATTTCTCCACATCCTCTCCAGCATCTGTTGTCTTCTGATTTTTTAATGATGGCCATTCTAACTGGTGTGAGATGATACCTCATTGTGGTTTTGATTTGCATTTCTCTAATGACAAGTGATGATGAGCTTTTCTTCATACATTTGTTTGCCACACAAATGTCCTCTTTTGAGAAGTTTCTTTTCATATCCTTTGGACACTTTTTGATGTTTTCTTTTTCTTGTAAATTTGTTTAAGGTCCGTGTAGATTCTGGATATTAGCCATTTGTCAGATGGCTGATTTCAAAATCTTTCTCCCATTTTGTAGGTTGCCTGTTCATTCTGATGATAGTTTCTTTTTGCTGTGCAGAAGCTCTTGAGTTTAATTAGATCCCATTTATCAATTTTGGCTTCTGTTGCCATTGTTTTTGGTGTTTTAATAATGAAGTCTTTGCCCATGCCTATGTCCTGAATGGTATTGCCTAAGTTTTCTTCTAGGGTTTTTATGGTATTAGGTCTTACATCTAAGTCTTTAATCCATCTTGAGTTAATTTTTGTAGAAGATGTAAGGAAGGTGTTCTGTTTCAGTTTTCTGTATATGGCCAGTCAGTTATCCCAATACCATTTTTTTTATGATTCAAGGATTTATTAAGGCATACATGCAAAACATAGTGCTAATTGCATTAGCAAAAGATCAATGTAAAACACTCCACAATTCTGCAACTGTCAATTTAAAAAATGTTGTAGTGGCTGAAAGGTCCAATGTTGTATTCTTGCCAGTGAGTTAAGTTGTACAGAACATCGTCAGCACTAGCACAGTTTATAGAACCTCACAGACCCAAAGGAACATCATTAGGCAAAGCAACTACAGGAAGCGTGTGTCCGCGTGGGCGAGGTCAAGAGGGTCAGTATTGGTCAAGTGACAGTGTCGGTAATCCGTCAAGACAGTGATGTTAAGAAGGTTCATAGTTTAAGAATTATCTAAAATATTTTAAAAACTATAAAGCTGCAACGCATGATTTTTACATTTAGTTACTAGACAACTAAGGAAAGCGCTTATTAGCTCTGAATAAAGTAACATGGAAAGCACTTTTACTAATCTACAAAAAAAACTAATGCATTATCAGAAAGATTTTATAATACAAGGAGGCATATTGCTCAGTAAGAAGGGGTTCTATAAGAAAAGCACTTACTAAGTTAGCAACTAAGGGAACGACCAGTTTAAAGATGAATTAAATGCCCAATATGGGGAAGGATGGCAGGTGCAAGAGAAAGGAAAAGCTTAAGAAAACACTTCCTGATAATACCAACCTTTCTTTCATCATCTACTGCATTTGACAGAAATTAACCTTTTAGAGTTTTTACCCGTGACACTTTTATTCCTTGTACAGTGTAGTGTAACTCTCCACTTCGTATTTTGTCAAAATACCGTCTTCGTCCTTTGATCACACACACCCCTCCTGGCACACCCACAACCAAACAGAATACTTCGTTAGAGGAAACACATGAGTTCTGTTCAAAATCTCAGCAAAAGCTGATCAACTAATTTTTAGAAAACTCACTATGAAATCAAAAAGACTGATCCAAAGAACTGAGCTGTTTACACCCATTCCATTTCAGTACAGTGTTAGGTCGTGAACATGGGCTGATACATCACTGGTGAGTTTAATGGCAACGCTTCATTTGGGAGGCTGTTCTGCTTTGCATCTGGAAACTACTTAGAAAGTGTCTGCATCTCCTAACTGCAGAAGCTACGGTCTTCTGAAAGACGAAGGTCTTACACAGTTTAGTGCTCGGTGTTCTCAGCACAACAAAGCAGCATAGTTCAGAAGGTATTTTGACAACTCTTAATCTGAGCAAGAATAGGGGCTTTTAAAAAATAAGGCTTTAAGAAGGCTTGTCATTTTAGGGCTAAATTTTAATAGAATATGAGTCTGAACTCTTACATTTAGAACAAACAAAACCTTAAAATTACTGATTGGTTCAAAGTGGTTTTATGGAAAAATTAATCTGTAACAAAAAGTTGGCATTCAGTGCGAAGGCTCCACCATTTTTTGAGCAAAGTGTACAAAGGTTCCAAGGGACAGGGCAAGAAGAAGGGACTGAGACATTTACAGCAGCAGGCATTTCCTCTTCCTCTTCTTCACGGGAGGTGGGCAGAGAACTGCTGGGATCGCTTCGTCAAACACTGTCTTGAGGCCTCGCTGTGTGAGCGCGGAGCCCTCCAGGTATTTTACAGCACCAATCTCCTTAGCCATGGCTAGACCCTGCGGATAGGTGATCGGAGTCAGCTTCTTCTCTTTCAGTTTCTCGATCGTGTCTTTATCATCCCTAAGATCAAGTTTAGGTCCCACTAGGATGATGGGAGTTTTGGGACAGTGGTGCCGCACCTCAGGATACCACTTTGCACGGACATTTTCAAATGATGCAGGACTCACAAGGGAAAAGCAAATTAAGAACACATCTGTTAGCGGATAGGATGGGGGCGTAATCTGTCATAATCTTCTTGTCCAGCTGTATCCCATAAGCCCAGATTCACCGGTTTTCCATCTACCATAACATTGGCAGAATAATTGTCAAAGACAGTAGGAATATATTCTCCAGGAAATGCATTGGTTGTGTAACTGAGCAGTAGGCAAGTTTTACCTACAACTCCGTCTCCCACCACCACACACTTGATGGCCTGCATCTGGGCCGCTCGCTGGGCCGCGGCGATGCGGCAGCGGCAGGGCGCTGAGAAGGGAAGCGGCAGGCTCGGGGCTCGGCGGACGGGCACGCGGCTTGTGGGCGGCTGGGGCTGGGCACTGGATGCCGGGACCGCTGTCCACGCCGCCTCGCCCTCCGCGGACTGGAAGCCGAAGCCCGGCAGCGGCCACCACCCAAAGCTGAGGAAAACTCCCCAATACCATTTATTCAACAAGGAATCCTTTCCCCACTGCTTGTTTTGTCAGTTTCGTCAGACCAGATGGTTGTAGATGTGTGGCGTTATTTCTGAGGCTTCTGTTCTGTTTCATTGGTCTATATGTCTGTTTTGGTACCAGTAGCATGCTGTTTTGGTTACTGCAGCCTTGTAGTATAGTTTGAAGTCAGGTAGTGTGATGCCTTCAGCCTTGTTCTTTTTGCTTAGGATTGTCTTGGCTCTATAGGCTTTTTTGGGTTCGACATGAAATTTAAAGTAGTTTTTTCTAAATCTGTGAAGAAAGTCAATGGTAGCTTCATGGGGATAGCATTGTATCTACAAATTACTTTAGCCAGTATGGCCATTTTCACAATATTGATTCTTCCTATCCATGAACATAGAATTTCTTTTCAGTTCTTTGTGTCCTCTCTTATTTCCTTGAGCAGTGATTTGTAGTTCTTGAAGAGGGACCTCACAGTCCTCACAAGGGGCTTTGAGAGCACTTAACATAATCTAGAAATGGCTGAGCTTCAGAATTAGCTCTCAGCTTCTTGGCAGCTAGGGGGAAGATATAAAAATGGTGAATTTAATAAGGTTTAATATAAAGAAAAAATAGCACAAATGTGTCTCTTTTTTTCTGGCACTACATTGGAAAGAAGCTGTTTATGTGAGATTTTGTAAGAAACATTGAATGATGGAATGGGTAAAATTCTCAGCATCACTTATTCACCCCTTGCAAAAGTAGATATTATCTACTTGTCTTCATGAGTTTTGATGACAGCAAAGAAAATATTAATGTAGAATATTCATTAACAAATTTGTTGCAGAGCAGAATCATTTGGTCTTTTAAAAAATACATACTCCTAGGCATCATTAAATAAGTTCACCCTCATAATCTTAAATTCTCGGTTAACATTCTGACAATACCTCACTCTTTTTATCTTCTTTTACACTTTTATAACCACTACAGCTGTCTTTAGACGTTATAGAGAATGCCAATTAATGAATCTTTCCATTTCTTCCGAGTCTGTTAATTCTATCCTTAGTTCTCTTTCTTTTCCTGGGTGATTACTTGAGCTACTTTCTTTCCGGAATCCTCAACTCCTTAAGCTACTGTAGAACTACACTTCTTTAGCCACTACGTTGTAAAATGGTAACCCCTCTGTGACTTCTTTTTAATGGAAGTTCATAAACACATGGATGGAAGAAATAATTTCAGAATTGATCAAATAATGTTAAATTATCTTTAGGAAATGTCTCCAAATTATGAGTGAGGATATGATAATGATAAAGAGCACAGCAATGGCATGTGACACCTGCTTGCTATTTATGGAATATAATGGATTGAAAGATATGTTTGCAACATGCAAGTTACTTCAAATTGAGAGATAAGAGTAGGATGTACTCACTTGTATAATAGTCCTTTCCATGATGAACTGGAGGAAATAATAGGCTACATGAGGAGATAAAACAGGTAACAACAGTGAGACTTACTGAGCATCCACTAAATTAAAAAGTTTATGTTTGTAATGACTAAGCTTCACAATATCCCTATTTATCAGGTAGATTTTGCTATATCAACAAACTATTTCAAAACCTAGCAGCTTAAAACAGTCATTCTCAAAATGTGGTACCTGAACCACCTACATCAACATCACATGGGAACTTACAGATAAAGCAAATTTAGAAACCTTCATGCAAGACAAGACCTATAAATCAGAAAATCTGGAAGTCCATTGGTCTATTTTAAGAAATACCCAAAGTGATTCTTACATAAGCTAAAGTTTGGTAATTACCAACTTTAAAAAGCCATATGTATGTATGTATGTATGTATATACATGTGTGCGTGTGTGTGTATATACACAGTTCTGTGAAAAAGAAGTCACAGAGGTTTTATATATGTGTGTGTGTATATATGTATATGTATATCTCTCTATATATATATACACACACAGAGACAAAGAGAGGAGTGAAAATTGAATATATATGTTCGACTTTGTATGTATGCATGTATGCATACTTTGTAAGTCCAATATATACATTGGACTTTGTATGCACTCATGTAGGTATTTGTATATACATACATACATATGGCTGTTTTAAGTTGGTGGTTTCCAAACTTCAACTTGCATCAGAATATACATACATACATACATACATACATACATACATATATATAGTGGATGATTCTTCTCATTTCAGCTATGTTCCCTCATACATCTGCTGATGAATCAGCTGGGATATGGCTGATCTACAATGTCTTCAATTAAGACAGCTCACCTCTGCTCCATGTAGTCTCTCATGCATTAGGAAGGTAGCCTTGGCTTGTTCATATAACATTTGAGCAGGTTCTAGGAGAGAAAATGGGAGTCCACAAAGTCTCCTGACTCTAGAGGTCTATGTTCAGAACTAGAACACTTTCACATTTGTCACATTCTCTTGGCTAAAGCAAATCTCAAGAACAGCCTAAATTCAGGGAGTAGGAAAATAGACTCCACCTACTGATGAGTGAGCTACAAAGTCACAATGCAAAGGACAAAGATAGGGTTTGAAAATTGAGGCCATTTTGCCAGTGGTTTACAGCATGGTAGATATTTTTATACTTAATATGTAAGAACAAGAAAATACAGCTCAGGAAATTTACAGGGTTATCCATTTAAAACGTGGCAAATATCAAATTTAAACCTAAGCCTATTTGATTCTGACTGATCAGCCAATGTACAAATAGCTATAATATAACATAGTATGTGCTAAGTAGAATAATTAGCCCAGAAGAGAGATTGTAATAGTTCAAAAGACAGAGAGATGATTTCTGGCTGGAGATGCCAGAAAATTCTCAGTGAGAACAATGAAGTTTGAAGGATGAGCAATGTAGGAAGCAAAATAAGTTTGAGCATAAAACAAAACATTTGTTGAAAACTACCAAACTTCCATTGGTAAATACAGGAGGCTCCTTTAGCTGGAATTTAGGGTATTTAAAGAGAAAAAGAAAGAGTTACATTTAGAAAATAGTCGCTAATGTGGAGAACCTTGAATGCCAAGGTAAGGAGTTTGAACTTGAAGACTTTTGAGCAAAACTTATTAAAATAAGGTGTTATCATGTAAGTTCCAATTATATTTATCTTCATACAAATTATCTTTTTGTGGCTGTATCCATGGAAAACATTTTACTTTGGAGTGACTTTCCATTCACAATTTTCCAACTGCCTTCCATTCTTTTGAATGAAATATCATTTAGCGAATACAGATCTAAAAAGCTAATATGGCCTTACTCAGATCTGACATTAAATAGCTGGGGGGTTGAGTTAGGTCACACTTTCCTTAAATCAAAGTTTTCCTACTGGGCCTATGCAGTGTAACTTATGATTAATCGTCTCAGCTGGGAAACCATACTGACTCCGGAATGGCTGAAGGCCCCTTGGGTGGTTGCTTCAGGCCAAAGACTACTGTGTTTCTTCATTTTAGTGTGCTGTGTAAACATTAAGCATTATTATTTTCTGTGTATTCTATATGTATAAGTTAAAAGGCACCACCTTAGAGGCATTCTGTGACCAGGCTCACAAAGCACAGGGGATGGGGGAATATCTACAATGCTCCATAACTATGAAGAGACCCTGGGTGCATCTCAGAAATGTGTTTGTATTTTGAAGACTCCTAAGTAACTCTAATAGCCCACCAAATTTGTGAATCACTATTGTAGAAAGCTTCTATCCAGTAAAACTTGTCTCCTAATTTCTGGCTTTTGGTTCACAACAAACTATAATGGGGAATGTAATGGGTCCCATGCCACTCCAATTCTGACCTCAGCCCACATAATGGGTTTTCTCACTAAGCACCTACAAAGGCATTCCGTTTCACCTCCCTTTGTGCTTGTACTCCATGAGCCACACTTGGGATAACCTGAATTCTCTGAGAAGGCCAAACTTGGAAAGAACACTAACAGATATCCAAACACATCTTTTGATTTGTATGTGGCCCCACAGCCTCATGAAAGATAGCCTAAATCCAGACCCGTAGCTCTACACTAAACTGGAGCATTGTGAAGACCCCTAAACTGATGGAAAATAAGTTAACTTTCCTGAGAGAAAAATCACACCAAAAGAAGTAGCCTGGCAGAAGGAGACTGACTGGTGGAGACAGCTGTGGTTTCACTTATACTTGCAGATTCCATTTGAGCATGCTCACATCCAGAGCTTCCCTCACCACCATTAACTTGAGTCACCTGTGCATTCTGGGAAGAAGACTCATTTAAAGAGAAAAACAGTGTCACTAGAGCACATCAACTCTGTTTTAGAAGCTCTCATTGGAAAAGTTGGCTTTGTGAAATGGAAAGTGTTGACCTGGTGAAGGAATCCCAGAGGTAGATGCAGGGAAGAAGCAAGCAATAGGATGAACACTTGCCTCAGAGGGATGGGGTGCTGTTGTCTAGAGGAGGTCAGGAAGGGCCCAGGTCATGGCAAAGGCAACAATTTGTGGGTGGCAGCATGATGATGAAAGAGATTGCCTTCCCTTCCAAAAGGGGAATGGTGACTGTAGAGGATGGTGGAACGAAGGTTATAAAGATACAGGAAGCTTCGATCATATTTATTATTAATTTTAATATCAACTATGTATTACATGATTTAAAAGGTACAAAGTACTGTTCTAGGGTATGGATTTGTGTCAGCAATCAAAATTCAAAACAACAGAATATCTGTTCTTATGGTATTTACATTTTAGTAGATTTTTTATATGGAAAATCATGTCTCTCTGCAATATCCAGACAGAATAATTGAATGTAAGGACCTATGGAAGGTAGTTGTAGAAGGGTATGAGGTACAGCTGTATTTCTGGTTAATCAAATTACTTGGAGCTCAAAGCTTTGAGACCCAAGATATTATTACTTGCCAATGAAAAAAAATAACAAATTTTAATATTATCCCTAACAAAACACACTTTAAAGGGCAAAAATCTTTAAATCGTGATATATT